AGTGTATATATATATATATATATATGCATTATTCTTTTAGCTGTGCATGTTTTTCTCTATTAATATTTAAAATGGCAGCGCCATTGCCTCTCAGCAAGGAGGATGCATGATCGAATCCCAGCCAGCGACCATTCTGGATTGTTGTCAGGTTCTTTTTGTGCATGCATGGGTTTTCTCCAGGTACTCTGGTTTCTCGCTGCTCCACTTGTCCTCACGTGTGCGATGGGTTAAATGCAGAGGGCAAATTTAATTGTGTTCATGCAGTGATGACAACATATCACTTCACTTTATGCTGCCTACAGATGTTCTCAAATCCCAAGCAGACATGAGCTTCCAGAAATGAAGCGATCATCACAGAGTCAACGATTGGAGAGCAACACAATAAATTTGATTTTAGCTCCACCTCCATCTGTATGCCATTTATGCAGGGGTGGTGGAAGGTGTAATCCAGGGATTTCAAGCTTGTAAGAACATAATATAAGTCTGTGTATGTTGGTATGTTTAGGCTGTCACCATGCTCTCTAGAAACAAATCAGATGTCTTGATTATAGTTCTATTTATTTATTTGCCGTTATTTAACCAGGCAAGTGGCAAGATCACAGATCTCTGTTTCAAGGGAGGCCTGGGCCTGATGTTTTTGAGAGTGGGGGGAAACTGGAGTACCTGGAGAAAACAGGGGATTGAACCCAGGACCTTCTTGCTGTAAGGTGTCGATGCTAACCACTGAGCCATCATGCTGCTAGTTGATAAAAAACTGTTAAATAAATAACAGTAAAAGTATTGCTGTTATTAAAGGGGCACAAAAATAATTCATCCTCTAGAGGGAGCCACATCCCGTTTCATAGAGATTTAAACTAAAACAGGTTGAAATGAAATACTAAATCAAGAGTTTCTGCAGACGTCATTGTCCATTTAATAGTGAAGAGAACCAACAAAAAATGCAAATGCCTTAATGTCAATATATTAAGGTAAATATACAAATTCAAAGTAAACATAGGTATATTGCTGTCTGAGAAGTATGGTTACTATGCATTGAAACACGCAATAAAACCATTTTAGAGTTTATCTGCGTCCTAGCTGTTTCTTAAATGCCTTTAGAGACTTTGCCATCATTGGAGCAACTCCTGTAAGACAAAAAACAAAACGCAAATAAACTTTAGGTGATTAAGAATCAGATAAAGGATGTTCAAAGACAATGAAATACTGTATTTAATTTCAAGAAAAGGTGGAATCATACTTCAGACGTAGAACGTTCCATCTCACAAATGCGATTGTGAAACATTCTTTTCCGAGGAAACATTTTACAGTTTCTACAGAAAAACTCCCGTTAAGCCCTCCCACAGAAGCACACATCACGTACAAACAGAAAAATGTGGTATTTCTGCTGTTAACTGAAGAGAAGCACTATTTTGCTAATTTATTTATTGTTTGTTACAAAAAGTATTTCCACTACAGCAAAGTTCGGCACGTCTGATTAAGTATAAATCCACGTGTTTTGATTGTAAAAAAAATGTGTCTCAACGGGCCAGTTTAGGAAAACCAAAAACCAACGTCTTAACCATTTTTGCTCACTTGTTTTTTTGCGTGGGTCTTGAGTGTTGCTCCCCCCAGAACTGGTGCTGCTGGACCTGCTGGGGTCATGCCGCTCATTACAACTCGGCCTTATTTGGTTTTCCTGACTTTTGACGCTGGAAATAATCCAACAAAATAAATACAGTCAATACAGAGATGTGTTCAAAATAATAGAAAATGAGCAAGCCCACATCCAGCACATTATGTGAGTTCACAACAAAAATGCTAAGGCTTTAAAACCGGAATAAAACCAGTTTATCCAGGACATAGCTCAAATTGCTGTTTGTCCTGGTTTGCGGTTATCAGACTGTGGTAACCCTGCTGAGCTGCAGTTTAGTGATCACTTTGTGGTTTAGCTACTTTAATGTGGAAAAATCAGATGTTCATGTTAGTATTTTACTTGTAAGAATCTCTAAAACTAAAACACGAGGAAGAACCTTTACCTTTTAGCTCCCCTCCTCTGTTTGTCTTTAAAGCCAAGCTAATATTTCTTATGCTATTAACGTTCAACACTACAGAAATAATACAGAACAAGCAAAGTAAATAAGTTGCAAATAAACCAAAAATGGGCAAATTAAATGATGTGTAAGTGGCCGTCCACCTGCACTTGAGCTGATGAGGTTGCTGAACAGCAGTTCCGTGAATTTCCTGCTGAATTCGTACATCTCTAGGGGGCTTGGCAACCGTGTGAATAAATGCCATCTTCACTTGCCGTCCTATGAAATAAACAACAATGATGACTTTTTTTTCCAACATGGAACAAAAAATAAATAAAAACAGGTTTATAACTGCAAAAGTTTGACTGTCCCCAATGCAGTGTGTTTTCACAAAGTCAAACTAAAAAGTAGAACAGGCGTTTTCAGTGTAGCAGACCCACCCTTCGGTTTCTTTGAATGTGCTGAGACAATAGATTTCGTCAGTCTTTGGAGCTTCCTTTCTCTTTCCTCGGACACCCTGATATACATCTCTTTCCATGACTCGTATTCCTGGAGTTTGCAGTCTTTGAAATCCCTCTGGCAGTGTTTCCCCCACAAGTGGTCTGTCAATCCCATGTAGATCTATGGAGGGAAAAAATGAACTCAAACTGCTCCAAACATTTCAGAATAAAGCATTTCAGAATCAACACCAGGTGTCAAAACGCTACTTTGAAAGGAAACTGGATCATTGCAGATGAAAAAGCATCGGGATGTGAAAATACACTCATTCAATACACATGACAGGTCATTTGACAACTGATGGGATGGTAAGAAATCTCAGAAAAATGTTGTAATCTTTAAATTTATGTAGCTTATCTAACATTAACATCCTGTTCAGCAGGACCTTCCCGGTTACAGAAATGCTGTTAGAAAAGTCACACGCAGATTTAGAAACAACAGTGGTGTACTTGGTGTACTTATTTAACCATGCTTTGGATACGATGTACTYCTAGCATCCGTCAAAGAGAAACGCAATAACTTATTACTAAACTGTTTAATCTGCAACACTGCACATACGTTTTTTAAATGTGTTTCACCAATGAACAAACTATGAGCATTTCTAGTGATCAGTCTAATCTGCTCTGTTTTGATATCTTTCAGCTGTGTGAATGGATTAAATCTCACTTTTACTCAGCTGTTTGTGGTCTGACGTTGTAGCTCAAAAGCAACACCTGGTGGCTTTTCTTTTCTTTTCTGTTTTTAGAAATGAACTGCATCCACTATCAGTTATTGATTGTCAACCAATGAGTACTTTCAAATAAATTTCCATAAAATCCACTTGGTGGTCCGCAATATCTTTTCCTAAATAAAAAAAATAAAAAAATAAACAAACAAAAAAAACTGGCTGTTAGATCTCAGCAACACCACATTTGAGCAAAGTATCTGTAAAGACTGACCAAATTACAGCATTTATGTTGAATCAGTTTGGCTCCAAAAGTTAATGAGTTGTAGATGTACATGAAATTATTCATTTCAGCAAGTTTCATAAAACTTGTCTGGTAATTCTTGATATACAGTATTTTGGGTACAAACAGACATAAACTCTTAAACATTATTCCCCTTCGCAAAAGCCAAAAATAAAAAATAAAAATAAAAAAAGGACAGCAAACCAGTGCAAACTTCATAAAGTGACCACCACCTGTGTCATCAGTAAACTAAGATACCACGCTCTTACTGGGTTGTACTCCTCTATGCGAAGCAGCTGCTCAGGTGTGCACCTCTCCAGCACCGGCTCGAGAAGTTCAAACGGGACKCCGCCAGTTTCGTACAGCACTGAGAAGAGAGCCCCGCACCTAAATATAAAATCCAACAAAGGGACAAAACTCTTGGCGCTCCGCTGGATGTTACTCACGGTTAATGTTGTTCTGCAGCGTGCGGATGCACTGTTGGTACAGGCTCATCATGGCTGGGAGGAAACGGGTTTTGGCGCCAGAGTACACCTGCATCTTGCTGTTCAGGCGTTGACCAGTGAAGACCACGGACTCTTCGTCGCAGAAATCGGCCTCCCTCTCATCTTTAAAACCAATGACATGTCAAGAGCAAAACATTTTTTTTTAAAAGTAGAGAATACGTCTGTATTTATTTACATGTAGCACCTTTTTTTTCAAAGTAGTAGTCAATGCTGGAAGGCTTTTCCAATTCAGGCAGAGCAGCAGGTAAAGGAACATCCATCAGGTGCATCAAGGACTCCTGAGGCTTCTGCAGTGTAAAAGTTATTAAAATATAAAGACATGATGAACAAAGCTTGTATTGTTGTTAGGTATACCTCCTCTGGAACAGGAGCAGGTGGTTTTGGAGGTTTCTTTTCAGGATGTTTTCTTTGCTCTTTCGACACGGTTTTGATGATTTTGGGAGTTTTCCTTGATCCAGACTGATCTTTTCTCTTGAAAAGTTTCACGTCGTAATTCAAGAAAGATTCAAAAGACAAGGAGGCCTTCCTCTCTTCCCGATCACTTTGGCTGTCCTCGTCTTTATGGTACATTTTGGCCTTTTTGGATTTTGAGCGTTCCTTATTTTCAGAGTCTGGTTTACGTTTGACACGGTCATGCTTCTCTCGTTCTGCTTTTTTCCTTTTCCTCCTTTGGCCTTCRGAGCTCGTTGACATTTCAGAAGATCTGTCATCTTTGGCTTCTTCTAACTTTTTGAAGAGTTTCTCACTGGATGAACAGGAGTCCTTGCTTTCCATCAATGATTCATTTGAAGATTTTGGTTTGGATTTTTGCTCCGTTGCAGATCTTCCACTTCCATTTGTGCTTTTGAACTTCTCCCTTGTGTCAGATCTGGATTTCTGAGGACTGCCATTTGTGTTTTCACTTYGTTTTTTCTTCTTTTCCGATTTATCAACTTGGATGTCAGTTTTGCTCATCACATCCTGAACAAGAGTTTCTTGTTGACTTTTTTCAATGTTTTTATTGTCTTCAGATTTTCTTCCCTTCTTTTCATTTTGTCCTTTATTTAAATCATTTTGTTTACTCTGTAAATTAAAGGAATCGTCGTCCGAGGTGTCTGGATTCTTGCTATTAGACGCTAAACCGTCATTTTGCTCATCATTTGATAAAGATGCAGTCTCAGGACAGCTTTTGTCATCTTCTGTGCTTTTAACAAAAACAGTCTCTGGCAAACACCTTAATTTGGGAAATTTTGATTAATAAACATGAAAAATAAGCACAAATGTACATTGTGAAAAACACTTCACCTTGTGGATTGCTTAGGGACCAGTTCTTTCCAACCTTTAACCAGCGACTTGGCCAAATCTCCAGCTTGCTTGTGTCTTCGCAAGGAATTAACCGTTTTGCCAATTCCAGTTTCCTAAAGGACATTTAAAACCCCATCAGTGCATGCACATGTCACTTTTAACAAGATTATAGAATYACTCTTTGCAGCAAAGACTCACAGCGAGAATGTCTAATGTGACATCCAGATCCTTCAATTTTTGCAAAACTTTTAGAACCTAGAAAGAGATTTCGGTGGCATTAATACTGTCGACAAAGTCAGGAGAATACACGAAGGCTGCTGAAATACTAGTTTAAAGCTTGGTTCACACAAAAGCTACTGAAATGTAAGGTACATCAAAGAAAACAGACACACCAAATATGGTATTCCTGGTTTAGGATTTGCTGAATAAGCATTTATAGYACTATGTAAGGGATCCCCCCACCACACACACACACATCGAAATAGATTCTTTAATGGGTGGGTTTAATATTTGTCTATATAACTGAAATAGGTGTGCCTTTATCAATCTAAAATTCCTTTGGTCCAATTATATTTACACTTAGATGCAGACATATCTAATTACTCAGTGCTAAGTGTGGTCTGCAGAGCACCCCCTTCTCGGGTGATGGACAGCAACCATAAGTTAAGCAACTGTGGGTGGAGGGCTTCCAAATTTAGCTGCAAAGACGACCCTCTCCTATATAAACAGCCTGACTCTTCACAGTAACTAACGTAAAACAACCCTTTCTCGGCTTTTATTTTGAAAGGGAACGGGAAAACCAGAAACGCCTTCAGAAACTATAAGTTAAATTACAATTTTATTTGAAATATTAACACCGGTTTGTGTCCTGCGTTTATTTAATAAACTGTATATACCGTAGCAGGCTTCGTTGTGTCCGACAGCTGAAGTTTGAACTGCAAGATTTTCTTCACCACCTCGGAGCTCCTGGCCATCCTGGTTCCAGTGCRACCGCGTGCGCACACCGGGCAGCGCGCGCGCGTTGATTACAATATTATAGTGGGCGGGTCCGACCTCGACATTCTACAGTCATGATGGAAC